CTTATTCTCTTCCACTGATCTATTTCTTTTATTTCACCAGTACCACAGTGTCTTGATTATTGTAGCTTCCTGGTAAACCTTGCAGTCAAATAGTATCAGTACCTACTTTGTTCTTCAATATTTTGTGGCTATCTGGATACTTTGCCTCTGTCTATAAACCTTAGATCAATTTGTCAAGAAAAAACCCAAAATAATCTGGAATTATCATTGCAATTGTATTGAATCTGTAAATAAGTTGTCATCTTTTGTGTGTGTGTGTGGTACTGGAGATCGAACTCAGGATTTTACTGTTGCGAGGCAGGTGGTGACACCAGTGAGTTAAATCCTGGCCCGGCTGTCATCTTGATAGTATCACATCTTCCTAAATATGTGATATCTCTTCATTTATTTAAGTCTTTGATCTCTTTCATCAGAGTTTTATAGTTTTCCTCATAAAAATCTTACACGTTTTGTTAGATTCATACTTATTTCTTTGGGGTGCTAATTTAAATGGTATTATTTCCCTTTCAAATTTCACTTGTTCATTGCTAGTATTAAGCAACTTATCTCTCTTGCTTCCTTTCATAGTACTGAGGATTAAACAGCGGGCCTTTTTGCTGAGCTACATTCCCTGGCCCTTTGTTGCTATTTAATTTTGAAACATGGTCTCACTGAGTTGCTTAGGAAGAACTCAAAATTGTGATCCTCCTGCCTCAGCCTCCCAATAGCTGGAACTACATATGTGCCCATGACACCTGGCTAGCAGGTGACTTTTGTATATTAACCTTATAGCTTGCAGTCTCACTGTAACTGCTTATCACTTCCAGGATTTTTTGTTTTATTTTTTTGTTTATTTGGTCATTTCTTTAAAAATTTTTACATAGATGCTTGTGTCAGCTGAAAAGAATTTTATTTCTTCCCAATCTGTGTAACTTTTCTCTTCCTTTTGCCTTAGCGAGGACTTCTGGTATAATATGAAAAGGAACAGGGGAGAAAGGACATCTTTTTCCTGTTCTCAATCATAGTAGGAAAGCTTCAGGTTTCTCACCATTAGGGAGGATGCTGGCTATAGGGTTTCTGTAGATATGTTCTACCATGTTGAAGATCCCCCTTGCCCCAATTCCTAATTTACTGAGATTTTTACATTTTTTATTGCAAATTTTTAATTTTATTGTTGGATTTTGTCAAATACTTTGCCTGCACCTACAGATACGATAATGTGAATTTTATTGCCTGTTCATGGGCTGGACCATGCTGAACCAGTCTTGGATACTTCAGATGAATCCCACTTGGGTGTGATGTGTGATTCTTTTCATCTATATTTGGATCAATTTGCCAATATTTTGTTGAGGATTTTTTTTAAGCTATGTGAGAAATACTGGTTTATAGTTTTCTTGTAATATTTTGTTTGGTTTGGGAAGCAAAGTGATATTGCCTTCACATAGTTAGGAAATAATCCCTCTGTTTCAGTCTGAACTTTTTTAACAGTTGGTAGAATTCACTGAGAGCCCATCTAGGCTTGGTGCTGTTTCAGAAGGTTATTAACTCTTGATTCCCTTTCCTTAGTAGATACTGGCTTACTAAGTGTCTGCTTCTTCTTGTATGCATTTAGGCATATTATGTCTTTCAAGGAATTGGCCATTTTGTCTAGACTGTAGTTTTCATTTTTAAAGACGTATTCACTGGATACAGAGACTTTTTAAAGAATTAAGTTTATCGGTACATTTTAGGTAGACATTGTGATCGCATTCATCATTGGGCATTTGTCCGCATACATGATATATCTTTGTTCTTACTGTTTCTCATTCCCCTTTCCTCTCTTCAAACCTTCCACCCTTCCTTGTTTACAAAATATTTGTTTCCATTTTTCCTTTTCTCATTTGTTCTTTCCCTTCTTTCCTTTCCTCTGCCCACCTCCCTAGTTTCCCTTCCCCTTGAACCTTTTCTTCCTATTTCACAGTATCTGTTAAACTTTTTGGTCCTCATTTACACTTTGTTTCTCACACCAGAGAAACAATGTAGCATTTACACGTGTGTCTAGTTTATTCCACTGAAGAGTATGGTCTTAAGGTGGATCAATTTAGGTATAAATGATCTAGTTTATCTTTACGCCTGAGTAGTACTCCATTGTATTGGGAAAAAAAACACATCATCTTTATTCACTTGTCAATTGACAGGCATTTGGGCTGTTGCCAAGATTTAGCTATTACAGACTTTGTTGCTATAAACATGAGTGTGCATTTATTGCTGTTTTATGATGCTTTTAATTCTTTCAGGAAGATACCCAGAAGGGGAACAGCTGGGTCAAATGAAACCTCTAGTTTTAATTTTCCCAGAAATCTACACACTGATTTCCACAGTGCTTGTACCAGTCTACACTCCCATCATCGGTGGAGGTGGGTTCCCCTTCCCCACAGCCCACCAGCATTTGCTATTGGTTGATTTCTTGATAACAGCATTCTTTCTGGAGTGAGGTGGAATCTTAGTGTTTTAATTTGCATCTCTTGAATGACCAGTGATGTTGAAACTTTTCATACATTTATTTGCTATTTCTACTTCTTCATTTGGTAAGTGTGTAATTTCTGCTGTCCAGTTTGGGATTGAGCCTTTAAATTGGGGAGTGTGTGTTTTGTTTTGTTTTTGTTTTTGTTTTTTTAGTTCTTCATATAGTCTGAATTTTAGTCCTTTGATGGGTAGCTGGTAAAACTTTTTCCTTATTCTATGGGTTGTCTCTTCACCCTGATAGTGTTTTGCTTTTTTTTTTTTTTTTAGTTCTTCATATAGTCTGAATTTTAGTCGAGGGGTAGCTGGTAAAACTTTTTCCTTATTCTATGGGTTGTCTGTTCACCTAGCTTTGCTTTTTTTTGCTATGCAAAAGCTTTTTAATGAGATCCCAGTGTTTGATCTTTTTAATATTTTCAGTGTGATTGGGGTTTTGTTCATAAAGTCTTTGCCTACACCTTATGTGTTTAAGAGTTTTACCTATTCTATCTTCCAGCAGATTATGGTGGTAAAACTTTTTCCTTATTCTATGGGTTGTCTGTTCACCTAGCTTTGCTTTTTTTTGCTATGCAAAAGCTTTTTAATGAGATCCCAGTTGTTGATCTTTTTAATATTTTCAGTGTGATTGGGGTTTTGTTCATAAAGTCTTTGCCTACACCTTATGTGTTTAAGAGTTTTACCTATTCTATCTTCCAGCAGATTATGGTTTTCATATTTAGATCTTTGGTCCATTTCAGTTTTAGTTTAGTGCATAAAGATATGGGTCCAGTTCTAATCTTTGGCAAGTTAAAACCCAGTTTTCCCAGCACCATTTATTAAAGAGCCCGTCTTTCCTCCAGGGAAGGTGTTTGCCTTCTTTGTTCAATGACAAGGTGGCTAAGTGTGTCTAGCATTGTTGTTGCATCTTCTAATCTGTTCTGTTGATCCTTGGGTCTATTTTTTTTTTGCCAGTACCATGCTTTTTTGCACAGTAGCTTTGTAGTATAGTTTCAAGCTGCTGGGGATTGTGATGCCTGCTGCCTTACCTTTGTTGCCTAGAATTACCTTTGCTATTCTCGGTGTTTCTTCTAGTTCCAAATGAATTTTAGGATTATTTTCTCTAATTCTGTGAGATATGCTGTTGGAATTTTGATTGGGATTGCATTAAATCTATGTAACAGTTTGGAAGTATGGTCATTTTCACTGTATTGGTTCTTCCTACCAAAGAACAGATGTGTCTTTCTATTTTGATATCCTCTTCAATCCCAGAGACTATTTCAAATATAAGTAAATATAGACATATATATAGATTAAGTTCACTATATATTTCATTACACTAGGTTTAGGGTTTCCCTCCCTTTTATTACTTTGTTTTTTTTTTTTGGTACCAGCAGTTGTACTAAGGACCTTGTGCTGATGAGGCAGATGGCAGCACCACTGAGCTAAATCCCTGGCCCTCCCCTTTCATTACATTAAAATTGTCACTCATTTATCTTCTGGGCTGCCTGTTTCCTGATAGTAATTCTGCCATCATTCTTAAGTTTCTTTTGTCTGGCTACTTCAGTAGTTTTCTCATAATCTTCATGTTTATTTATTTATTTATTTTTGGTTTTTTGAGACAGGGTCTCACTATGTAGTTGAGACTGACCTAGAACTCACTATGTAGCTCAGGCTGGTCTCAAACTCACAGCGATCCCCCTGCCTCAGCCGAGTGCTGGGTTTATAGGCATGCGCCACCATGCCCGGCACGATCTTCATGTTTTAGCAGTTTGATTGTGATGTGTTTAGATGTGGTGGTCTTTGTATTAATCCTGCTTGGTATGCTCAAGTCTTCTGGAACCCATGAGGTTTGTCTTGCACTGATTTTGGAAAAGTCTCAGCAATTATTTCTTCAAATATTTCCTGTGTTTTCTGTTCTTCTCACCTTCTGCCCTTCCCCTCCTAGGACGACTCTAGTTATCCATAATGTTAGGTAGCTTGATGTGGTCTCAAAGTTTCAGCTCTCCCTTCTTCCATTTCTCTCTTCTCTGACATTTCCATTTGATTTCTGTTAACCTAATCTTTTGCTTCACTGATTCTCCTCTTTGCTGTAGCCAATACGAAATTATCTCCAATATCTCCCATCTCTCTCCTGCTCATCCTCCCCCTAGTGCACGCTGTGGTCCCTCAGGTCAGAAGTTGTGAGTGCCACAGACTCAGCCCCTCAGCCTAACTTCCTTTTGACTGCTTCAATATTGGTTGAATTTCATATTCGATTCATTTTGATTTAAAAATTTTGTCCTGGTACTCGGGTTTATTTGGTACTTGACACAAAAGCTAGAACGTGGTGTTGATTACCCTGTGACTTGTTACCTTTGGGCCCAAACAGTCTATTCAGTAATTGTTGTTTCTAGTAAATGTCTTCCCAAAACCATTTATCACTGTACTTAAGCCTTGTCTCTCTCCTTGGCCCCAGGACATTCCTTTTCTTTTCCTCTTTCATTTTTCTTCTTTGTACTGATAGAGGAAAAAAAAACTCTTTTCTTCTTTCTTTTGTGCAGTGATAAGAGTAAAACACAGTGCCAGCAACTGTCAGGAGTGAATGAGGCCCCCTTTCTTGCTCTGCCCGGAAAGCCCTTCTTTCCTCTGCCCTCCACCCTCCAGCTTCATGGACAGATGGGCTTGGACCCTTTCTGGAGACCTTGCAGCATGCAGAGGAGCATATCTCCAGGTCTGTGCATGTGGGTCCTGCAGAGAAGCAGAATTCCTGTTTGGTTCTGCACACATTTACCCTTTGCTCATCGGTTTTTTTTTTTGTTTGTTTTTTTTTTTCCTTTTTTTGGAGTCAGAGTTTCACTGTATTATTTCAGGCTGGCCTGGAACTCACTATGTAGCCCTGGCTGGCCTCCAACTCGAGACCCTTCCAGCCTCAGCCTTCAGAATGCTAGGATCACAGGCATGCGCCACCATGCCCCGCAGCCATCCCCACCTGTTTTATCATTTTGTCGAGGCCGGCCTTGATCCTGAGATTCTCCTGCCTCAACCTGTCCAGTAGATGAGATTACAGGCGTGTGCCTACACGCGGCTGGAGTTGAGATCCTGAAAGCCCGTTTCCCATTCCAGGAGCAGCGGATCATCCTGTTCCCCTCCGCGGACAGGAGGACGTGGCCTGGAGCATGTGGTGTGCCCTGCGGTGCTCAAGGAGAGCCCTGGCCTGGGCCGCCCCGGGGAGCCGCGCTCCGGCCCGC